ATTCCGCTACCTTGCGAACTCCTTGATTATACGGCCGTACAGCGTTGCAATTGCTAGCAAAAAATGTACTGTTTTTGACTCTAGAAAATTACGAGTCGAGTTCGAAGTCATTTTTCAAGCAGCTCCCTCCCTTAGAGGCCCCGAACTGTTTATATTTTGATTAAGGGAGGTTTAAGGGCACCTGAAAATTGTTTAAAACCTTGGACAAAGTTCTACAGTTGAATTTAGAAATAGATTTGTACTATTGGTTTCAATGATTTGTCACTGCAAAAAAGGAATAACAGCCCAGAAAAAATGTTGCAAGTTATGCGAACTTTGAGGTTGGTCCCAACCTTGGAGTTTGTCAATATCGCAGGATCTTTTCACATAGGCTTCATATACAGTTTTTGGAGTGGCAAATTATTGTGATCCCATGTAAGGATATATTTCCGAGGTCCAGCCGTTAAATTTTGCGACACTGAAAGAAAATTCTCGGCGTTTTTACCAAGGTCCGTTGGTACCTTTACCATCTCACTTTTTTTACCAATTATTGGTAATTTTACCAAGACAGACTGGTAAGCTTACCTCAAAACCGGTATTTTTACTGTTGTTTTCAGGTAAGAATACCACTTTTATTGGTAATCAATTCCCGGTAACTTTGCCATTTTATCTCGGTAATTCTACCACAGTCGATAAAAAATATTGGCGTTTTTACAAAGGTCCAGTAAAATTACCGCGAAAGTTCAATAATTTTACCGAGATTTCTCGGTACGATTACCAATTACATTAATGGTAATTTTACCAAGAAAAAACTGGGATCATACAGAACCCTGAATTCTTGGTAATTTTACCCTTTTCTTAGTAAATACACCGAGATTTTTTTTTCAGTGTAGTGTTACGCAAAAATTAAGTATCATTATTATTTTATGCTGCTGTGTTAAAGGCGTCCTTAATCGTCCCTTGATCATAATGCAAACCATACGGGGTCACTCGAAGGAAAGAAGCAGATTAGAGAACGACCATGCTACTCGAGGTACTTTACGGAGACGGCAACGTTGAAGGCTGCATCAATAATCGCGCTCATGCTGCTTTTTATTTTACTGTGTGTGGTTATACGATAGCATTCCATGTTCCGTGTAACGCATTGAGACCAGTGGCGTGGCGTGAATTGCGATTTATCGATTGTTATGCCATTTAAACCTATGGTAAAGAATCGACTTTTAAGGTGTTCGCTGCGAACACCTTGTTTATCGATCCTTTTCCATGGGTTTAAATGACCTAACAAACGATATATCGAAATTCACGCCACACCACTGATTGAGACCACGCATCGCACAGTGTCAGCAGTGGCCGATCTAGCTGCTCAAAACCTTTCGAGCATTAAAAAAAAAATTGGAAAATTTTTAGACTCCAGAATAATTTTGAGATTAATGGTTATCCATAGCCGGAAAATCTAAAAAATCTGTCTGTCCTGTGGATCTGTAAGAATTGGAGCATCAGAGGATCTGTATATTTCGGTGACCCCCCGTAATTTAATACGGTCGTTGGAAGCTAATAACTGTTTTGCCATTCCCTCAGGGTTAAAAGTACGACTGTCTGTTTCGTCTATGGATGTTCTTTCTTACAATCTTGAGTGATGTAATCGGAAAGGACAATAGTTGAATTCGGAGGTTCACACCATTGATCCTTTTTGAGCGAAAAATTCATCAATTGATCGGGGTGTCTACTAAAACAGGCTGGCCAAAAATCAGTACTTTTACCTTACTTTTTCAGTACATTCCTAAGAAATGCAGTGCTCCCTCAACAGAAAAATTCAGTGCTTTTTCGGTACCTTCATTTAACGAGATTCAAAAAATTTCAAAAATTTGAATTTCTCGCTCTAATTGCGAAAAAATGACAAAAATTCCGGACCTTTTTGCGGAATTTCCGCACTTTTTCAGTACTCCCGCACCGCCCTAAAAAAATCAGTACTATTTCCGGACTTTCTGGAAATACCGCAGTTGTACACACCCTGCAGTGATGCCAGATGAACGGGAATCACTTTGGCCGGCGGGTTTCTGCAAAATATGTTGGGGCTGAACCAATTGCTCTCAGTCATCAGAAGCCGAATCTGAGTGTTGACTTCCAAAAGTAACTTCAATACCTCGGGGAAAACAGTAGTGTGGGGTCTCAAACATATTATTCTGTGTCTGTCTGTACGACGCAAAAAATATATAGTGAGCTTGGAGAAATGATATTGAATTTTTCACTCTATCGCAGGTAAATGCAGATCAACAGCATTTCCTTGGCAATATTTGTATCTTCGCCGAAAAAAAAAAATTGGCCAATGTCTTCGGACCACGTGATTTTCACAGAGAAAGTTGCTTTGAATCACGTTTCGAACGAGATCGTTTTGAAGAAATCGAAAACGAAATCGAGTGCCTCTGAATCAGATAATTTTATTGGAGACTGAAATTCATGGGAAGTTGAAGGACTTTGACTCACTTTGACTTTGACTCACTTTGTTTTGTTATCGTCTAACCTTCGGGTCTATCAATGAACTTCCACATTTTTATCATCATCGATTTACAGACTGCACTTACACGATTAATGAAGCCAAAACTTATTCAGAGCCTTCATTTCTGTCGATAGCGAAACCTCGCTCGTTCTGCCACAGTGCTCACAATTTTCGGCGTTGGCTTCCTCATTTGACTTCATTATATCACTGTTTTTCGGATGAACAGTAGGGGAAAAAGCTGCGTTTTCGCTTCGATGACTGAACATATCTGAGGAAGTCGGGAAAGCAGCAGTCCCAGTATTCCGTCAGGCGTATTGACAGACTCCCCCTCTCCTAAATTCTCCTCCTCATCTCTCCTTGATTTTTGAGTCTTTTCTGTATTACGGATACTCGGAAATCCCTCAGCCATAATATAAAAATGGACATTCAAGTTAAAAATATTCATACTTCAAATCGTGAGGTCTTCCGTCAAAAATAAAATTCCGATTATTCACGAAAAATGACCCTTTCAGGAAAAATTGTTTTGCCCATGAGGATCTGGGGGAACCTTCGACCCCCCCCCTCCCCCCACCTATGTCACTAGCAGGGTGTCTACTAAAACAGGTTAGGGAAAAATCAGTACTTATACAGTACTTTTTCAGTACATTCCCAGGAAATTCAGTGTCTTCTCAATAGAAAATTTCAGTACTTTTTCAGTATCTTCAATTGAAGAAATTCGAAAAATTTCAAAAATGTAAGTTAATCGCTCAAATTGCGACAGAAACGACAAAAAAATGAACAAAATTTCGGATCTTCTGATGGAATTTCCACACTTTTTCAGTACTACCTTCAAAAAATCAGTACTATTTACGGACTTGTGGACACCCTGACTAGGCGGGCGCTCCTCGGGCAATTTTAGCGCATGTTTGAAAGAAATGTAACGAAACGAAGGTCATCTTCCCGCATATCCGCGCACCATCTTCCAACAACGTTGAACAGGCCCGCCAGAAGCCGCGATGCAACGCAACGGTGAAGTGCGGCGAGCTGGCGTGGTTGGCGAGTGAGTCGGAAGGTGTGGCACTGCTCCGGTGGCCCTTCTCATTGGCCCCCGAACGCGGTTGCCGCTCGGGGGGTGAATCCGACGAGAAATTGACGGCCGCGAGGCGAAAATGGCAACACGGTGGCGTCTCTGCCGCCGTCGGAAATTGAGAATAACCGGATGAGTCGCAGCGGGACGAGGAGGCGTCGATGAACCGATGAAGTCAGCGATGACGTCACAGCTTCAGCGCCACCCTCCATCCCGCCAGTGTTGAAACCCGCTCGTTAAGAGTCGATGCGATGCGTCAGCATCATGATTGTAACAATGATTGTAACAGTGACGTCATCAAGCAGCTGAAGGGAAGAGGACACTATGATCACTCCTCCAAATTGAATGATTTTGCGGTCTTAAATGAAAACGTACACCAGGGTGTCTACTAAAACAGGCTGGCCAAAAATCAGTACTTCTACAGTAATTTTTCAGTACATTCCCGAGAAATTCAATACCTTCTCAACCCAAAAATTCAGTAATTTTTCAGTACTTCCATTTGACGAGGGTCGAAAAAATTTTAAAAATTTGAATTTCCCGCTCAAATTGCAACAAAAATGACAAAAAAATGGAGAAAATTCCGGTCCTTCATATGCAATTTCCTCACTTTCTCAGTACTTCCGGACCGCCCTTAAAAAATCAATGCTATTGCCGGACTTTCCGGAAATTCCGGGCTTGTAGACACCCTGTACACATATAAAACAAAAGCAAATACATGAAAATCGGTAAAACAAGCTGAAACATACATTAAAATGCCTTTTTGAAAACCTGCAAAATTTCAAAGGAATCGCCCTAAAAATGGGCAAGAACCTGGAAGGTCTTGGTGGACTTTTGGATCCATGTGTATAACCTGAAATGACCCAAGTTAAACAGAAAGGAACCAAGCGAAATCAGCAGCTATTTCCATGTTTAAGTGGGCGCTTTAATTTTGTACATAAAAACGATCGTGCGGATTTTCGTGCAAATTTCAGTGAATTTTCTCCATAATGCGAAGCAAGTTCCTTAAAATTTTCCAAGTAATCCGCACAAACGTTCTCTCGTGAAAAAATAAATCGCCCACTCTTTGGCAACAGCTGATGAGTCTTGGTCCCTTTCTGATTAACCACTGGGAAAAAAAAAAAAAAAAAAAAAAAAAAAAAAAAAAAACACATTGGATCTAGAGTCGAGACTCTTAAAAACATCGACAAGAAAAAATACTCTTGATTCAATCGGATTTAAGCTTAAATCAAGAACCAAGCCTCTTAATTTGAGCGGATTTCCTTTTGATTTAAGCTTAAATCTGATTGAATCAAGAGTATTTTTCCTTGTCAATGTTTTTAAGAGTCTGGACTCTAGATCCAATGTGTTTTTTTTCCAGTGCGTGGTCTAAATGATCGAAACACGATTAACACGTCTGCCCCTTTAAAAATTAGTGAACATGCTTGCTTAATAATGTTCGGATATGAAGTGGGAGTGTACCTGCTTCTGGAGTTAAGGCTGCCGTATCCGTTGTATTCCTCGGCCGAGGGGGCCGTGTTGGAGGCGTTGGGCCCGCAGGCGCCTTGGTCGCCTCGCTCGTCCTGTTCGGCGTCGTTCGGCAGCGTCATTTTAGTCCCTTCGCAACACTTGCCACAGCGCTGGCCAAAGTCCGACAGACCCGAATTCGCCTTAGCGCACAACTACCGAGGAGCTATGAGTCTCTGCGGAAGCACAGATCAGGTCAAACACTGCTCGCGATAATTCGTACGACGAAACCCTCTCTCGGACGAAAACACACATTCATACAATCCAAAACGCAAGAGAAAGAACCGGAACACCCCCTACACTCCCAGAGCCTTCATGAGTCGCCTTCATTATCCTTCAAGTTCGGTATCAGTAGAGACTTCAACGCAGCGATAAGAAAATTGACTAACGACTAGAGACAAGGAGGGACCCTCCACTTAGAGTACGGCCACTGAGTCTCCTCAGGAATATCCTGTAAGTTCAGTATCAGTAGAGTGACTTTAACGCAGCAATAAGTAAATAAACTAGCACGTCATCGCTGAATACATATGACAATCCAGGGAAACCAATTTCTTATCCATACATTTCATCAACCAAAAAAAGGATGCAAAGACATAAAGGAAGCATCCTAATCAGAGAAAATATATTCAATAGATACCGCACTAACAATCTAAGCAACGTAATCGGGTAATTGCTACGTTTTGACTGATGATGATAGAGGAGCAACTTGTTGAGCAAAAAATTAAATAATCTTCCCCTATTGATGCTTGAGGAATGTCGCGGTGTGGCCTTTGAAGGGTGAATTTTTAAAAATTAGGTTAGGATCGCTGAACCAGTGGGTCACTTCTTCGGTCGTAAGTCATCCTTGGGCAAATCCAGGCGTTTACTTCTGGAAGTAACTTGTACACTATATTTCCGTGCTTAGGAAAAACTCCGGATGATCATTCAAGTTTTGCCGAATGTCCCTCAACAAGATAAATATTTTGAAGAAAAGTCACGTGTGTTTTACTTTGAGATTTTCTGGTATTTAGATCAAATTGCAAATGAAATAATCTGAAAAATCAGAAACTATTCACATATTTCCTCGAAAAGTATTTTTGTAAAAAGTTTAGCAACGCCATGAGGTTCATACGCCGTTTTTTCTTAACACGGCAGCATAAGGAGAGGAGCATTATGCGGGGTCTCTAAAATATATTGTCTCAGAATAAAGGATCCAAGGAGATCAAACAAGGATCGGCCTAAAACAAAACTTAACTCGACCTGTTCAAATTCCTGAAGAATCGAATCAAACCAGAAGAACAATGAACAGTAAATTCTGAGACCTTAAACTAGCAACGTTGAATTTCATATCTCTTCATCTAGCTTGGAGCCAGATATGAGATGATTCTCGATGAACTTGACAGCCATATTTCGATAGGATCCAAATTAGAGAGAGGAGTTCAAAAGGACCGGATAAAGAGCGCATACCATTCGCCAGATTCGGAGCCAACCCGTTTCCTCCCGATTAAGATCGAGACGTCGCTGATTTATACAGCCGCGCTGAGGAAAAACGTCGTATCAACATTTGAAGGTTGCCAAAATTCCCCGGATAAAACAATTGTTTTTGAGGAAAGTTATGGACAATTTTCCGTGGAATTTGAAGATGCTTTAAATCGAATTGCAAACATATGAAACAAAGGAAGAAAATTCTTTTCAAATTCCTCCACTGGAAAAAAAAAAACACATTGGATCACACACCAGAGTCCAGACTCTTGAAAACATCGACAAGAAAAAATACTCTTGATTGAATCAAGAGTCCTTTTTCTTGTCATAATGTTTTTAAGAGTCTGGACTCTAGATCCAATGTGTTTATTTTTTCCAGTGAAATTTATGTTTTACGAGAGGAAATTTGACAAAGTCTGAAGGTTCATACGTCGTTCTTCCCCAGCACAGTGGTGTAAGGCACCCTAATTCACGGCGCGCTCACGACGCGCAGTCGGTAATTAATATTATATTTAAGTATTTTTTTTAAGTCACTTTTTTTTTCAGTTTTCCCAGTCAAAGGGAAACCGGTTCGGCGGTGTCGTATCGCCGACCACCGGCCGTCAGGTGGAGCGAATGATACACGAATCGATTGAGAACACCCCGAACCGGTTATGTAGATGATCAAAATCGACAGACTTCGGACGCACCGCCGTCGCGCCGGGGGGACGCACAGGGGCGCATCTCGAGCGTGCTTGCCTTCCACCCTCCTCGTGCCCGAGAGCACCCTCTACCCTCTTAATAGGTCGTCTGAATACTGGACGAGACGGATCCCTCCCTCTCCGGGGGTGAGCAAAAGAGGGAAAAAACACCGCAACCAAGTCTTCAAAGTTTAAGTCTTGTTGAAGTCAGTTTTTTTTAAGCTAGGGGCACTTGAGCACGATGGAGACTTCGCGCAGGTACCTAAAATTGGATGACTTATTCATAAATAAAAATTGCCCAGTGAATGGAGTTGTTGCATGTGTCAGGAATTTGCAATTTGACTATTGATTCTTATGTAAAAGTTCGCGGAAAACACGACGGTGCCATTGGTTTTCTCTGAAATCATCTCCCAAGCTCAAAAAAGCTCTCAAAGTGAGGCAAAAATGGAGGGGATATCCCGCTCTACCCTGAGAGTCCACCTCTACATCTAAACAAACTCTCCATGCAAAGATAGGGAGCAAATACATTGACAGGGCTGCCACTTCATTTGGGGACTCCAAAACAGAAAACACTGCAGCCCTGCTAATGTATTTGCTCCCTATCTTTGCATGGAGAGTTTGTTTTGATGTAGAGGTGGACTCTCAGGGTAGGGCGGGATATCCCCTCCATTTTGGCCTCACTTTGAGAGCTTTTTTTGAGCTTGGGAGATGATTTCAGAGAAAACCAGTGGCACCATCGTGTTTCTCGTGAACTTTTACGAAAGAAACAACAGCCAAATCGCAAATCTCTCACACATGCAACATCTCCATTAAGCACGGCAATATTTCCGATATCTGAATTGAGTGACTATTGGAGGGATTATAATTGAGCGATGTTACCCAGGCCCGCCGCAAGGGTGGGGATACTAAATCCATGGTACAGGGGCCCGTGCCGCCCATCACACACTATTTCAAATTCACTTGTAACCCTTGTCTCGTAAGGAAAAGTGAAAATTTCACCCAAAAAAAATCGTAAAAGGTGAATAATCAATTGGTACTAGGGCCCGAGGTGGGATGTGGCAGGCTTGATGTTATGTAAAATACGTGTGTTTAAATAGAGAAAACGATCTTATGAAGGCGGTAAAAGAGGGTGCGATAGGGGCAGTCTCTGGGCCTTTATCGATAAAACCCTATCTTTATCACGCTAGTTATCGATCAGCGTCATTCGGCAACGAGTCAAAGGGCCCATGAGACATTTTTCTCGAGGTTATGATGAGGTCTTCCTCCCTCGGTAACCCCTGTTAGCGTCGTGCTAAGAGAATCTCAGGCGAGTTCATGAGAGAAATGAGCCGGTGAAACCATCGATAATTGGAAGTGACGTGTATTTAGATTGTTGCTCAATTTTAATTTTTTCCTTTTCTAAGAGGGGGAGGGGGTCGAACCATCCTCATTACACGGAGCAAGAGGGAGGGGGGGGGGCGTGGCATGAGAAACGTCTTCGGGACAAAATTAGGAGTGAATGGAAGATGCCTCAGAGGCATCGATGACCTTGAGGGGCTCGACAGACTTTTGCCTCCGTTTGGGATGGTTACACTTTATACACTGTGACTGCAAATTCCGCTCCAGATTGGTGGGGTTATTTTTTTATCGCACTCGAGAAGTCGCGTTAGCACCACTGATTCAAGCGGATGTTGAGAATGTTGCCAATTCGTCGATTTCCGACAATGAAGTCTCCTCATACTAAGAACTCCTATGGGTAATTCCGTAGGCTCATTCGCATAAAGGGACTATCGTTAAAGTCTTTTGAATACTGATTTTTACACCCAATTTCGCGAAATCGAAAATGGTGTCGCCGCTTCTTCTGAAACCAGCTCAAAAGCTCAGTAAAAGTACTCAAAGTTAAGGCCGTGACGGAAGTGATTGCCTACGTTATGAGTCTACCCTCACATCCGATCAAACCCTCCATGCACAGATTGCACAGGCAAGGAGCAATTACACTGGAAGGGTTGCCGTGGTGCCGGCCTGGGAGTCCTCATCAAAACGGTAACCCTGCCAATGTACATGCTCTCTAAAATCCATGCATGGAGAATTGGAGTAGATAGAAAAGGTGTACTCCTCTCATAACACAGGCAACCCCTTTCGATACAGTCTCAACTTTGAGAAATCTTTTCGTGCTTTGAGTTCGTTTCAGAAAAACCAGTGGCACCGTCGTGTTTCTCGCAAAATTTTATACGAGTAAAATTACTTACAAAGCAAATCTCTGTGACGTGAGAGGTCCATTTCAGACTTTCTTGCTCACCGTGATTTTTAAGTCACTCCTACAGGGCGATCCAAAAGTCCCGCAGCACCCCTATAATTCTCAAGGTTCTTGCCTTTTATAAGAGAGGTCCATGTTTCTTTTGAGGTAGGAGCACTTACACTATTTCAAGTCACCATCTCAATTTTCCAAAAGCTACAGGGGTGATGCCTGCTTCTACTGATGCAGGACTTTCGCGGATCACCCTGTATACAGGGCAACTCTAGAGTCCCTTCATACCGAGAGTCAAGACAACACCCCCTCATGGAGTCTTAAACGGGAATACAGATTACACAAATTGAACTTTTTTCGTAATCTTTGATCGGCCCATTCTCAAATTCCTTTCTCCGTTCCCTCTCTCATTCCTTTTGCTCCTTGCCTAACCCGTAATTCCCTGGTCCATTCCAGATTATAATTTGTGACACTGCGAAGGCCTGAAATACGGGAACCAATCAGAAATGGATTCACATCGTCTTGACTCTCAGTATAAAGGGACTCTACGAGCACTTACACTATTTCAAGTCACCATCTCAATTTTCCAATACCTAGTTACAGGGGTGATGCCTGATTCTACTGGTGCGGGACTTCCGCGGGTCACCCTGTATACAGGGCGACTCTAATTTTCGCTCCATCGAAAATTGGCAAGCGAAAATTGGCAGTACCCTGAGCGTGAAGAAGAGCTGAAAGCAACGTGGCAAGGCGGGAGCTGGTTGGCGGGACAGGCAGCCAATACGGCCATTTTTTGTCTGGTTTTCGCGCT